CGAACCCATACTACCCTGACACCTAAACCACACACAAAGCCTACAGCTCAACGCCCAAATGCAGCCGCAACACGCGGAATCCTCTTACCCAACCCCTAAACCCTCATAAACCTAAACCTGAAACTCCAAGACCAGCGAACCATAAACCCTGACCCCTAGACCCTATACACTCTCAAACCCCGCAACCCCTAAACCTCGTAAACCTTAAGCCCTAAACGCCCCAAACCCTAAGCCCTCATCCCTCGTAAGCCCTAAACCCACACCCAAAACCCCTAAACCCTAAACCCTGAACCCTCAAACCCCTAAACCCGAACCCCTAACACCCTGAACCTGGTAGGTGAATCGCGAACTTGATCCTGGCCTGGTGCGTTGGACGACGACCATGGAGGCCTTTCCCTGAAACCGACACACCAGGTAGGGTGTAGGGTTTAGTGTTTAGGGTTTAGGGTTTAGGGTTTGGGGTTTGGGGTTTAGGGTTTAGGGTGTATGTGATCCTAAACCCTCAACCACAAGGCGGGGCTCGAAGGTCTTCAGGGGCCTTCAGGCGCCCTGAGTCCTGTCCCAAGTTCGAAGGGCGAAGCCCTCTGTAAAGGCCCTCCACCCCTTAACCCTAAGCCTCCAACACCTAAATTGCTCAACCCTAAACCCCTAAACCCTAAACCCTCAACCCCTAAACCCTAAACCCTAAACCCTAAACCCTAAACCCTAAACCCTAAACCCCAAAACCCTAAACCCCTAAACCCCTAAATCCTAAACCCCTAGATGCGCCCCATTGCGGGTTTGGAGACAGGCCGTTGCCCTGGCGGGTCTGCTCTTCTCGTCCTTCACCATGGCGGTGCGAAGCTTACTGCTCGGAGGGCTGAGGATTGAGGGTTTAGGGTTTAGGGGTTAGGGTTTAGGGGTTAGGGTTTAGGGGTTAGGGGTTAGGGTTTAGGGTTTAGGGTTTAGAGTCTAGGGTTGAGGGTTTCAAGTTCAGGTCCGAGGGTACGTGTGGGTTCAGGGTGCGTGGGCCGTTAGTATGCTTAGCTTGGAGGTTGAGGTGCGTCCAAATTCACCCCTGGCTTCTTTTGGGGTGGCATAGGATTGTGGAGCCCAGTTCAATGCACCCTCATCTCCCACGAACAAGGCACAATAGGCAATCTAAACCCTAAACCCGAAGCCGCCAACGCCGCCACTGGAACCCGAAACCCATTCGCACGAGACCGAACCATGCTTGAAAGAGACCTCCGAGCCATCTTGCCGGGCTAGGGTTTAGGGTTTAGGGTTTAGGGTTTAGGGTTTAGGGTTTAGGGTTTAGGGTTTAGGGTTTAGGGTTTAGGGTTTAGGGTTTAGGGTTTAGGGTTTAGGGTTTTGGCTTCGAAGATTGGGACTGAAAGCTTGGCGGCGATACGAAGCCAAGAGGAATGCACCCTGAAACCAGAGCCCTGTAACCCCCTGAAGCCCTGAACCTTGCAAAGCCCTAAACCCTAAACCCTAAACCCTAAACCCTAAACCCTAAACCCTAAACCCTAAACCCTAAACCCTAAACCCTCAGGCAACCTCGGTTCGGTTGTAGGCCTTCGTCCTTAGTCCTTAGGCTTTAGGCGGTTTAGGCTTTAGGCGGTTGAACCTTTAGGCGGTTTGGGCTTCAAAGCGGTGTAGGGTTTAGGGTTTAGGCTTCAGGCAGTTTAGGGTTTAGGGTTTAGGCTTCAGGCTTCAGGCTTTAGGCGTTCTAGGCTTCAGGCTTTAGGCGTTTTAGGGTTTCGGCGTCAGGCTTTGGGCTGAGGGTTTGGGCTTCAGGCTTTAGGGTGAGGGCTTAGGGTTTAGGGGCCTATAAAGGTCTAACTGACCCTATAAAAGAGGACCTCCTAATCTTGTTCATCCACAAGCTGGCCACCGTCGAGTATGTGGCAAGGGCCTCAAATCCGGACTGGTTCGAAGTCACATGGGGTCACCCTAAACCCTAAACCCCAAACCCTAAACCCTAAACCCTAAACCACCTTTCTCAGGGTGTAGGGCTTCGTAGAGTTGAGGGCTAGGACCCAGAGTAGGCCCGTCTTCCCTTCTTTGAGGTCTAGGTTCCCTTAATTATAATTATAAGCCCCTTGAAGCCACAAAGGGTGCCCTGTCTGTTCCTAGGTTACTCTTGGGTCTAGCACATGTAGCTTCATGTTTTGAGGTCGCTGAAGGGTTCCCAGGTCCTATAGCTGTAGGGTTTAGGATTTGTAGAGGTTGGGGCAAGTCTGTATTCTTAGTGTCCTTTTGGGTGTAGCTCGGCGTTGTTGTTAACAATCCGTTGTTCTTTAGCCCAGTGGACCCCACAAAAATTGCACATTTCGGCTTCGCGTGTGTTTAGAGGGTCCGTGTTGATGCGGCCTGTTGCCATGTGGACACTTTGACCCCTGAAAGTGTGCCGCGCTTTTCAGGTACGTTGGGTGCCCTGCTCCAACGCAAAACCATAAACCCTAAACCGCCTCAACCCTGAACCCTAAGCCGCCTAAACCCTGAACCCTGAACCCTGAACCCTGAACCCTGAACCCTGAACCCTGAACCCTAAACCCTAAACCCTAAACCCTAAACCCTAAACCCTAAACCCTAAACCCTAAACCCAAACCCGGAAACATATCCGAAGCCCCAAGAGCCCGAAGAAGATCCAAGAACCTCGAACCCGAGCCTTCAAAATCGCCACCCGAGAGCCGCGAAGCCCTCAAAGCCCCAAACGCCTAGTGCAGGGGTTTAGGGTTTAGGGTTTAGGGTTTAGGGTTTAGGGTTTAGGGTTTAGGGTTTAGGGTTTAGGGTTTCCGGGTTTCCGGGTTTTCGGTTTCCGGGTTTCCGGGTTTCCGGGTTTCGGGTTTAGGAAGGCACGAAGACTTGCAGCCTCAAAGCCCCTTGTTGCCCTAAAACCAAGAGCCCCCCAAAACTCTCGCGAGGTGCACCACATAGCCTTCCTGACGGCTGGCCTGATCATTCGCAGCAACTGTGCACGGGCGCCTACTGCGTTGAGGGCTTTAAGGGTTTGAATTCAATAGTCTCCAACTCTAGAGCTTTAGGGCCTTAGGGTTTAGGGGTTAGGGTTTTAGGGTTTAGGGTTTAGGGTTTAGGGTTTAGGGTTCGGGGCGTAGGGCTCTGGCATTCGAGGGTTTAGAGGGTTTAGCGCGTTAAGTTGGGGGGGAAACGGCTTAGGGCTGAAACTAAATCGTGGCGGATTCTTTTGAAGCTGAGATGGAAGTTAGCTGGGAATCCTCACCCCAAGCCCTAAACCCTAAACCTTTAAACCCTTAACCCTTGACCCTAAACCCTAAACCCTGAACCCTAAACCCTAAACCCTAAACCCTAAACCCTAAACCCTAAACCCTAAACCCTAAACCCTAAACCCTAAACCCTAAACCCTAAACCCTAAACCCTAAACCCCTACACTAGGCGTTAACCCCTAAACCCCTACACTACCGGGCATCTCGCGCCTTCATTATATGCTTTAGAACCCATTGTTTAGAAAGACACCATGTGGCCTAAGCTTTCTCTAACCCAGAGGGTCCATCTGTAGTACTTGTATGGAATTATCGGCACCCAAGAACCTTTTGGGTTCAGGGTTTAAGGTTTTGGGGTTTAGGGTTTAGGGTTTAAGTTGTTTTGAGGTACCCAAATTCCATAATAGTACTCCAGATGGAGCCTCTGGGTAAGGCATGAGAGGCAGCAGGAAGTCTGCATCACGGCCCTATAGGTCCTCGAATTTAGGGCTTCGGGCTTTGTGGGGAACCCCCTATAGACACCCTCAGCCCCGTGCCAAGATGCTGCCGCTGAACGCCGCTATTCTGATGTCCATGGAGGTGCTGGGATCTCAGCTCATCCTGTCGGAGCTGAGTTTCGGGCTGCAGGAGGACAGGTTGGAAGGGGATCTTTAGGTTTGCATCCTTTTTGCTGTCTCTTTTCGTGGGGCAGCATGAATTTCAGGCTGACGGCGGCAAGTGTCCTTTCGAAGGGGGGCTTGTCGAGCCCTTGTACGTTTAGCCTAAACTGGGTGGTGCAAGGTCCTGTGCGCGTCGTGCTGCGCACTTCTTGTACGCTTGTGTTGATGCCATCCCCTGTCGGTTCTGCAGAGATCCGGCTCACAGTCTCTGCGCGCTTCAGGGCGCAAGAAATGGCCCTTGAAAGGACTGTTCAGAACTGGCTGCGCGAGCGCGATGAGGACAAGATGCTCAGCACGTTCCCAAACCTTGTTGCTCAGTTCGGGCTGGAGTCTCTCAAGTCCTTTGCAGCTCAGTCCGCAAGCTTTTTGGGAGGGCATGGTAAGACCCCCCCTTAGAACCCAAAGGTGAAGCCCTTTTGTCCCCCTGGAATACGAAGATTGTGAATCAGTAAGGTGGTGATTTCTGCAAAGAACAAACCCAAGATCGTCCATGAGCTGGTGAGGCACGGCAGGGCTCGCGTCTTGCACTCTCTCATCGCGATCTACGGCTTCGGGGTAAATGACCAGCGGGAGGATGGCTGCACACCACTTCACCTTGCTTCATGGCATAAACGCGAAGCCATCAAGCAAGAGCTGCTGCAGCTTGGTGCAGACCCCTCCGTTCGCAACAACTATGGAGAGATGGCTGCAGAAATAGACTGTCATGCCATTCGCCCCTTGTTGCAAGCAGCTGGGAGCATAGAAGAGATCTTGAAGCTCATCCAGGATCGTCTTCACGATTTCTCTGCGCTGGACAAAGTCTTTGCCTTCCACCTGCTTGGTGACAGAACCTCGCACTACGACGGTTGCTTCAGGGGCTACGCGCCATCGTGTGGCCAAGAGGCCATCCGCAATGAGCCTGCATTCAGAAAGCTTGTCCTCGCATGCACTTCGCTCGTCGATGGGCCGATGGACGCGACTTCACAGGATGTCTGGGGGGCTCTTGTCAGGGCCATGATGATGCTGCGAGAGGAGAGTATCTTGCAAGCCATGGCTAAGCGAGTCGCCCAGGACTCGTGCCAAGAGTGGGGGCCGAGTCGGATCGTGCTGATTCTGTGGGGTCTCGCGAAGGTTGATGGTGGCAAGCCCCGATGGAAGCAAGGCTTTCAAGCTTTCGGAGACACTCGACCAAACTGCAGCAGGGTTCTCTACATCCTCCAAGGACATCAGCATGATGATGTGGGCATATGGCAAGCAGCCTTACAGGCACGAGGCTTTGTTTTGCGAGTGCGCAAACTACCTGGGGCAGAGACGCGAACAGCTTGAACCACAAGTGCTGTCAACCACATCTTGGGCTTTTGCAAGGGCAGATTTCCGCCATGAGACCGCACTGAGGTCCGCTGCAAGGCTGTGCACCCAGACAATGTCGCTGTTCAAAGCTAGTCAGGATGTCGCTAACTCTGCCTGGGCGCTCGCCAAGCTAGACGTAGACGATGCCGCGTTCTTCCAGGCCATGTTTTCCAGAGCTGGCAGTGTGTTGTACAGCGAGGAATTCAGAGACCACATGCGCATATCGCACAAGAACCGCGTCAAGGACTGGGCACAGGTGTACTATGCGTACAGATTTTGCTTGCATCGTTGCCCTGAAGGCTTGGAAGGCATCGGTCCGTGCATACTCCATGACTTGCGCCTGATGGGTCAGATGCGCACTGCAGGCGGGCAGGTAGGAAGGGCGTTCTCGGACAGCTCAGGCCTAAACAACTCCGAGAAGCGTTTGCGCGAGCTCGACAAGCTGATCGAAGCGATGGAGCGTGGCGATGACGATCTTGCTGGAGGGCCGATTGAAATCTCAAGCGATAGCTTGGAGGCGCTTCCCATCACCAGTTCGTCTGTTGCCCTGCAAGCAGCAGAGGCCAACGCAAGGCTAAGCCAGGAGATTTTGGGCCATCGCCCCTCAGATGTGCCGCGCGTGGTTCTCCTGAGTTTTTCCCGGAGCCCAGAGCCTTTTCGGAGGGCCTTGCTGGAGGGCCCTGAGCTGGCTGCTGTTCGTGCGGCACTGGAGGAAAGTGGCTACGACGTGCTTCTTGCGTCTGGAGCCAAATTTTTTGTGCATCCTGAACAGTATGAGAGCCTTGGGATTCCACTGGTGCCCATATGAATTAGCCATTTAGGGGAGTTCTGGCTTTCTTTGTCTAAGCCTCTAAGCCTAACTAACATTGAATGCTGGCATGCCTAGGAGCGTCCTCGAAGCCATCCAGGAACAGCAGCTGCGAGGGGCATCACTGAAGTGCTCACGCGTAGTGGTCGCAGAGGACTTGGAGGAGTTGGTCGCAGAGGCCTTGAGAGCTCTGCCCAGCAACCAGCAGGTCCGACTGCGAGACTCTCGGGAGATTCCAGTGTGTTGGGCCGAGCTAACGGATGCTCCCCATACACATGCCCATGATGAGGATCAGGTCCCTGTGACAGTGAGGCGTACATTCATACATGTCCCTGACTCCAGTTTGGTCGAAGGTGGAGCTGCCAAAGCCTCCAAGTCATGGTAGGCCGGTGGCTTTTGTACTGATTCGTGTCGACTGGGCCCTCCCCAACCATGGGCGATATGGGCTCGTCGAGGTTCCTTTTGTAAGCCCAGAAGCCGGAACCCTTAAGAAGCCTTTTCTTTTCAGCCATACAGTCTGCCCTTGCGGAAGCCAGTCGAAGGCTAGTTGGGTGCCTGAGCTGAGCTGCCAGTGCTTGCTCGCAATCGTGCTTGCACGCACCTGTGCGGCTCTTGCCAGATGCATTCGCAGCTATACCTCGTTTAGGACATAGGGAAAAAGGGTTTAGGGCTTATAGGGTTTAGGGTCAGGTTTAGGGTGTGCGGGGGTAGCTCCGGATGAAGCCGCGAATCCTCAGTCACACACCTGGCTGTCGCGTGTTCCAGACCAGACTCGCAACCGTGCCTGTCTGGTCTGAGAGTGCAGCGTCCAGCAGCCGAAAGAAAAGCGAATCTGAGTCTGACGTTTCAGCTCCTTGTTGAACTTGGCTTAGGACTTAGGCTTCTGGGTTTATCTCTACCCTGGCTTTACATTCCCACAACGAATGCGGAAACATCGACACGCATAATCTAAGGCCGAGCCCGATGAACCCAAAACCCCTAATACTTGCACGGGAGAGGAGGGTGGCCTCGAGGTTGGGGAGTCATGCTTTAGCGTTCGATCCCAAACTCCCTGAACGTGAATCCTTTGAGTCCAATAGCCTATACCCCAACATCCTAAGCCATCACTCCCGAACGCGCGGAGGCCACGTAAGGTATGTAACTTCCCCTCTTCCTCACTAGCACCCGACAAGTGAACACAAGGTCCCCTAATTTTGGAAACCCCCAGGTTTAGCTTAAATATCCCTAAACCCTAAACCCTAAACCCTAAACCCTTTGTGGCAAGTAGTGGCCGAGGTCGACCCCTTTCTTGAACTGGGTGATGATCTTCCGCCATCGCGGGGAGCGATACAAGCTCCAGGCCGGCTCGTAGGTTTAGGGCTCCTAGGGGGCTTATGGGGGTTTAGGCTTTAGGGTTTAGGGTTTAGGGTTTAGGGTTTAGGGTTTAGGGTTTAGGGTTTAGGGTTTAGGGTTTAGGGTTTAGGGTTTAGGTTTAGGGCTCAGAGCTTCTTGGGCTTGTAGGGCTCCTAGGGCTTCGAGGGCTTATCGGGCTTATATGCCGTATGGGGCTTATAGGGCTTTCAGGGCTTATAGGGCGTATGTTTATAGGGCTTAGGGCTTAGCCTTATCAAGGCTAGCATCACCCCAGAACTTCCCCCAAACCCAGGAGTTACTCCCAAACTACTACTGCCCCCTTAGGATGCCAAACCCTCAATCCTAAAGCATGAACTCCTAAACCCTGCAACCCTTAACTCCAAATCCTGAATCCCAAGCCCTGAACCCTCGTTCCTAAAACCTCGGAACTCTCCAACCCTTAACCCCGAAGCCCTAAGCCCCAAACCCCGAACCCCTAAACCCTAAACCGTTTAAATCCCGAAGCCCAAAACCCCAAACCCCCGACCCCTCAGAGCCTAAACCGATTAACCATTTAGCCTTATCCCTAAACCCTAAACCCTAAACCCCATGAGGCGTAAAGCTCGTCCTGCAAGCTTTGAAGCCTTCCGCCCATGAACCTTCAACTCCCTCAACACGATGCTTCGCTGGGTTTAGGGTTAGGATGTTCACCCCTATACTAACAGTCCTTAATCGGGGTTATAGCATCCCCAATTAAAAATACGTATTCAAGGTTATAGCATCCCCAATTAAAGTACCTATTCCGGACCGGTAGTATAGGTGGAAGATCCCAAGTTTAGGGTCTCGGGTTTTAGGACCCTGAGCCGCAAGACATCAAAAACTCCCTACACGCCGCCCTCGGCCCGTAGAAGGGTTTAGGGTTGACAGTGTTTAGGGTTTGGGGTTTAGGGTTTAGGGTTTAGGGTTGACAGTGTTTGGGGCTTAGGGTTTAGGGTTTAGGGTGGGGTGTACTTCTGCCTGATTAGTTACATTCTGTCAGGTGATCGTGGCAGGTGCCCTGTTCTTCTTCACCTTCCTCTTTTTTCGCATCTGCCCGGGGAGCCAGCATTCATGCATCTGGGGGCTTGCCTAAAGGAAATACACCTAAACCCCCGAAACGCTCTCAACCCTATATAGACCCTAGGCCCTAGGCCCTTACTAAACTACACCGGGGTAGACGCTGAACCCTAGCTGCCCCCAACTAAACTAGACCCCATAGCCTAACTAAGCTAAACTAGAGCTTAGCGCACCTGGAAGTGGAGAAAGGGAGGAGGATGTCCTTCCTTGAGGTTTCCTGGGGTTGGGGGTATTATAGGCTTTCAAGAAACCTTAATACACCCTAACCCGAAACTCGCGACCCTAGCCCTAAACCTTAAACCCTGAACCCTAAGCCCTAAATCCTAAAGCCTCACCACAAACCCTAAACCCTAAGCCCTATTCCAGGGTCCAACTCTATGCCCATCGTTTCGAGCCTGCAGCTGCTGCCTTGCCTCCAAAACCTTACACCTCTAAAGCCTATATGACTTGAATCCCGAGTTTGCAGTGCTTTGGAACTTTTTCCACATGAGCCTCGTTTTGCAAACGTATACGGGGAAAAACGACCGCAGCTCCCGTGGCTCCAAAGTTGATCTCTATCGAAAAAGCGTAGTGCACGGAGGACGACCGAAAGCTGCCTATCTAGATGAGCCCACATTTCTCTTTGCGCGGCGCTCGCTTTAGTGTTTCAGTTCGTTCCGGGAATCGTGGTTGGCAGTTACGGGTCGTTTTAGCAGGCACATGACCGCATGTGATCTACTCCCATGCCATCGGCAAGACTTGTCGTCCAGAACTGATGCTGCGTAACACAAGTATGCGCGTTTTTTTTTGAAGGTCGCTTGCTCTTGAACTGATGGAGCGCAGGGTGAGGGTGGGCCGCTGGGGGGGAGGTGCGGTTGGGCAGGTCAAGATTCATAGCTTCGCGTGAGCATCACCATCAACTTTGTAAAAGCTTACATGTGCGGTCTGTTGCTTTGCAAAAGGGACAGCTTGCAAATGAGAGTAGCTTTGCATGCCCAAGATTCATATCTATCTCGCTAGTATGACAGCCATAAGAATCTTCAGCATGTTAATGGCCACCATTCAGGATTCATATTAGCATATCCTATGTCATAGACACTTTGCCATTTTTCTCTTCTTCACCAAATTGACCCAATTTTTTGTGTTCCAGATTCAATACTGGCAAAACCGACCCATGAAATAAAGTAAAGCAAAATATTGAACCCAGAACTATGAACACATTTCGAGCCGTACTCATTGCTAATGAAGGTATAAACAAGTGACATACTCAAATCCCGAAATGGTACCCTAGACCCTTTTTCGCTCTACTAAACCCTAAACCCTAAACCCTAAACCCTAAACCCTAAACCCTAAACCCTAAACCCTAAACCCTAGAAAGCTTCCCAAAGCGGCCTCGCGGTTGCATCTTTAGAGCTCCCGAAGCTCGCACACATCGATGTTCTTTGCAACATGATTGTTCACACCGTCCTGGGTTTCGGGCATAGATAGGGCTGAAGGTTGAGGGTTTAGGCTTTAGGATTTCAGCCGCGATCTAGAACCCTAAACCCTAGGGTAGCGCCACGAAATCTGCCCAGTTCAGGGTGTTTAAGCGCTTCCTAAGCCCTAAACCCTCAGTCCTTAAAACCACAGCGTTGAAAGCCCTAAAACCCTATTCGCCCAGTTCTGAATATCTACGGCACAGTCCTCCTCTTTGTGGACCAGGCTTTGCAGGGTTCTGCTAAGATCTGACCTGGTTTTCATACAGGGGGCTCTACATCGAGGGTGTATACGGTTTAGGGATTCAGGTTGTAGGGCTTTAAAGGGCTTTTGAGAGTTTCAAAGGTAAAAAGCCGAAACCCTCCTGAAACCAGACTTCAGGAAGACCTTCAAAGGGCTCAAGGGGCAGAATGTTCCTGCAGTTGCCGAAACTGCCTCGCACCAGGGTTTTGGGTTTTGGGTTTGGGTTTGGGGTTGAGGGTCTCACACGGGGCTTTCTCCAAAATTGCGGGCTCAAGCCCCAAACCCTAAACCCTGAGCCCCAAACCCGAATCCCTAAGCCCCAAGCCCGAAGCCCGAATCCCATAGCCCTAAGCACTGAGCCCTAAGCCCGAAGAAGCCCTAAGAAGCCCTAAGCCCCAAACCCGAACCATCGGAGGCACAAGGCCTGGCAATGCCCCAGCGCGCCCGCAGCCCTGGGGGTCTGACTGTGGCTGTTGAGGTTTTCGGGTTTAGGGTTTAGGGTTGAGGGTTTAGGGTTTAGGGTTTACGGTTTAGGGTTTAGGGTTGAGGGTTTAGGGTTGAGGGTTCAGGGGGTTAGGGTGTAGGGTTTAAGGTTTTTGGGGGCGTTCACAGTTCTATAGGCATTTAGGGATTTAGGGTTCCTAGAGTTCGTAGAGGTCTTTTCAGGAGTCTCAGGGTTTCGGAGTTTTTAGGGTTGAGTGATTCCACGCATGTTTGAGTCTTTGTTGGCTTATGACGGCAAGGGGCTTCAAGCAGGGTTTAGGGTTTAGGGTTTAGGGTTTAGGGTTTAGGGTTTAGGGTTTAGGGTTTAGGGTTTAGGGTTTAGGGTTTAGGGTTTAGGGTTTAGGGTTTAGGGTTTAGGGTCAGTTGGGCCTTCAGTCTCTGGGGGCCTTGGGACGTCCAGAGGGCCGGGTTTTCAAGGCAAAGGCGGCGTAGAGCTCAGAGGTTTGCCGGTTTGAGGATGTTAGGGCTTTGTAAAGTTTAGAGGGTTGGTATGGCTTTCAGGGTTTAGGGTGCTTCTTCTGCAGGATTCCTAAACCCTCATGCACCCTAAACCCTAAACCACCCAGAGCTCTATAGTAAAGACCTTATGAACGCTAAGGTTGAAGCCCAACGTCGTTCAGAAGATCCTCGTGGCAAACCCTAAACCCTAAACCCTAAACCCTAAACCCTAAACCCTAAACCCTAAACCCTAAACCCTAAACCCTAAACCCTAAACCCTAAACCCTAAACCCTAAACCCTAAACCCTAAACCCTAAACCCCAACCTTAGGGACTTTTGGGTTTTAGGCTTCGGGTTTGGGGGTTAGGGTTTTTTGGTTTTGGGTTTGGGGTTTGGAGTTATAGAGTTCGGGTTATAAGCCCTAAAAACCTAGAAGCCTCGAACCCCTCCTTGGTTTTGCGTTTTGGGGTTGAGGGTTTCGGGTTAGAAGCCCTAAAAACCTCGAAGCCCTTAAACCCCTCGAAGCCGTAAATCACCTTAAACCCTAAACCCTAAACCCTAAACCCTAAACCCCTCGAAGCCGAGATCGAGGTCCCGCCGTGGCAAACAGCGGTCATCCTGGTCGCGGTGGCAGCCGGTGCTGGCCTGCAGGCGTTTAATATAGGGGTCGGAAGAGTTACGAATAACCATATCCCCCTTGGGAATTATTTGTTATTTTTGTTTTTATGAAACCCAAGAGGATATTAAAAATATTGTTTTTATTAAGGTTCTAAGGGGAGTGTAGATAATATTCCCTGGCGTTCCCTTCTTTAGTTATCCTGAACCCCAAAACCCCTGCCTTAAATATTAAGGCCCCTATGTCGGGGTTTTGGTTTTTTTTTCGGTTTGGGGGTTTTGGGGTGAAGGTTTAGGGTATAGGGTATAGGGTTTAGGGTTTAGGGTTCGAGGAGGTTTAGGGTTTGGGAGCTTTTGGGGATTGGGGCTTTGAGGGCTTTAGGGATTTTGGGGTTTCGGGGCTTTGGGGGGTTTTACGGTTCAGGCCCAAGGTGCACATCTTCATGGATTACGGTAACACCAAAAAAAGGCCATAATTAGAGGCAATGAGCAAGGGAATTATGGGATTAAGCAAGGCTTATGGCCTTTCAGGTACTCTCCTGGGAAACTGAACCTCCTTGGCACTAAGTAACTTCAAGCCCATCCTGCAATTCTCTAGGAAGACACGGCCAGTATGCAAGGACCATTGGTTTTCGCAAGTTCGTAAGCTTTTCTACCCCTAGAAACCCTTCACCGAAGCTGCGCCTAAAATCCTAACCCCCAAACCCCCCAAACCCGCAAAACGCCAAAACCCTAAACCCCGAAGCCCTAGCTAACCCCTAAACCCCTAACTCCCCTAAACCTAACCCCAGGTTGAGGCAAGAGCTCTTGGGTTCAACGGCCTACTTCCCTCACCTTCAACGGAACTCTCTTTGAGGTAGCTCCCATCTCTGAGCCCCAGTACCTCAAACGTATGACCGTAGCCTTTACATAGAGAACCCAAAACGTAGCCCATGATGTTTATACTTAAGGGGACTCAAAAGCGGGATGGCAACTCCTGAAAAAGGAAGCCCCCCAACCCTAAGCCCTCGAACACTTCACCCCATTGTAAGTAGCCCGGATTTCAAGTGGTTGGGCACCTCAAATGATGACTATCGAGCTTTTCGTTCTACTCGGAACCTCAAGGCAGTGCCACAATTGAGAGTTCAGGGTGTTTGGGTTTGTGGGCTGGGCTCTTAGGGCTGAGGGTAACTTGGAGGTTCAGGGTACTTCGCAACCCATTATAAGTGTAGTTTTAACCCACATAACAAGCCCCTTAAGTAGAATTAGGTTATAAGTACAGCTAGAATTGGGTTGCAGCACCATGAACCTCCAAGAAAAGTTTTGGCTGTAGATACCCTGCCCCTTGCGTCCCAGCTCTTCTGGCTGCCGAAGATTTGGCGCATGTTTGGCTTGAGGCCGGGCAGTCCCCCGAAACCTTCTTTGGAAACTACTCCCAAAAAGGGTTTGGGGTTTAGGGTTTAGGGTTTGGGGTTTAGGGTTAAGGGTTTAGGGCTGAGAGTGTAGCGCTACGGCTTAGAGACCTTAACTTTCATCACCACCCGAGCCCTAGTTGCCTGTTGAAAATCTAGAACCCAGAGCAGGCCCTTATTCCCTTGGAGTTTAGGTTTCCTTATAAGCCCCTTAAAGCCAAAAAGGGCACGCTTTTTACTCCTAGACATCAACGTTGAAGGTTTAAAGTGCTCTGTCCCTTTTGGGGTCCCTGCCGGTTTTTCCGCCTCCTCCCTGGCTTAGAGAACTCACCATGTGGACCCGTAGGGATTCTCTCGGGACCCAGAGTGGAAGATCCCTTCTGGTTACATCCAAAGAATCCGCACTGAGCCGGCTCTTACTTTTCGAGAAGGCTTTAGGGTTTAGGGTTTAGGGTTTAGGGTTTAGGGTTTAGGGTTTAGGGTTTAGGGTTTAGGGTTTAGGGTTCTGCCTTTCATAGACCCCCACCTTTCTTGTCGGATCCCAAACCCGTACTGACTGTGAGCCCGATAGTTTGGAAACCCCAGTATGCCTGATGACAAGAAAAGGTATAACCCTCAGCTCCAAACACTAAACCCCTGCAACTCCAAACTCTAGACCCCAAACCAGAAACCTCACACCCAAAACTTAACCCCATTTTTGTGAGGATATGGCAGCTCTTGCTGACTGGCCGAGTGGACACGGGCGGCGACGACGAGGAGGAGCGACGGTTTCAGAGTTGGGATGTCCCCCTAATACCAGCAGTCCTTAGTAGGGATTTTGGTACCAGGACTGTTAGTATAAGGGGGAACATCCAAAGCTTCAGAGTGTATAAAGGGCGCAGAGTGTTAAAGGTTTGAAGCTTAGGCTGGAGGCTGCAGGGTGGAGGGGTTTAGGTTTGAGGGATAACTTGGGGTTTAAGCTTGAAGTGGCAAGTCGGGATTAGGAGTTAGGGTTAAGTTAGGGAGAACTTGGGTTTCAGGAATGGGGCCTGCGAGACTGTACAGTGTTCACGGCGGGTTGAGGGACAATGGTTTAAATGTTTAAGGAGCCCTCCTACCACATTTTCAGGTCCTTGCCTTGTAGTTTAAGGTATTTTGTTGGGGGCCCTAAACCCTAAACCCTAAACCCTAAACCCTAAACCCTAAACCCTAAACCCTAAACCCTAAACCCTGCTTAGGGTGTCGGACTCCCCTTTTTCCTCCTACTTCGGGTCAAAAACCTCTCCGAGCCAGGAGGACTCCTACCTCACCGGCAGTGGAACCGACACCGGCCGTGAGAAGTGAGGGCATGGAGTGCCGGTCGGACGTCTTGTAAGATAGTTTGTGGAATTGTTGAACCTACGGGTTTAGGGTTTAGGGTTTAGGGTTGCCCAAATCCTTCGCGGCTGGGACTCCTTCTGGGGCTGGGCGAGCTTAGGGAGGTCTTCCGTGCTGGCGCTAAAAGGCTCACGTCACCCCTAAACCCTAAACCCTGAACCCTAAACCCTAAACCCCAAACCCTAAACCCTAAACCCAGCGCATCTTGCTTTATGCACGAGTGGGTGCCTATCAAAGCCCGCAGCCGGGTCTCCGGTCCTAAGGAATACATGCAACCAGGATCACATTCATCCCAATGTGTCGGAAAATTCTTTGCTTGGGTGGGCATAAGCCCTGAACCCTGAACCCTAAACCCTAAACCCCACTTCACCGAGCGTTCGGGGCTTTAGGCGTTTGCGGTTGGCTGGAAGAGTAGCCCTAAGCCCGGCAGCAACAAGAAGGCTCGAGCCTGAGCTTCTCCGGTTGACCAGCCCGTCACGCACATGTCGATTCGCAAGCTTCCCTGTCTCTGCATTGGGCTGTCAGCCATTGCTGGACTGTGGGCGTGCCACGCTGTCTGGCTGACGGCAGCTCGGCTGTAAATAGGGGGTGCAAGGTGGCACCGCATGATGCAGATGCGCTGTATGGGTGTTTCCCGAAAGAGGGGGTGGGGGAGAACTTGGCCCCTATACGTGCCTAAGCGGAGTCACAAGAAGCTGCCCCGCATCCTAGCAATGCAACAGGACGAAGGTTCCAGCTTCGTCCTGAACATTTCCATGAAGTGGGTTAGGGTTTAGGGTTTTAGGGTTCAGGGTTCAGGGTTCAGGGTCTAGGGTCTAGAGTTTAGGGTTTAGGGTTTAGGGCTCCCTCAACCCAAAACCCCTATGCCCTGGCGCGCAGCCAAGTCGGATACCTGGCCGCTGGCGCTGCTCGGCCTCTGGGGACTGGCAGCTTTGGCTTTGCTACGCGTCAAGGAGTACAGGGTTTAGGGTTTGAGGGTTTAGGGCTTAGGGTTTAGGATTTTGGGGTTCCCTGGTGCCCCCCAAACCCCAAACTTTGACATCAGGGCTTGGGGTTTGGATCTTTGGGTTTTGCTGTGCTGGGCTTGCGGGCTTTAGATTCGGGTTTAGGGCTTAGGGCTTATAAGCTTAGGGATCTTGGTACTCTCGTCTACGAGTGGGCGAACGGCGCATCAGCAGGGTACATCATGTCCGCCCTAAACCCTGAAGCACCCTGTACCTCCAAAGTCGTAACCGTAAATCCGAACACTCAAGCACTCTAAACACTAAGCCCTAAACCCTAAAACCTGAGCCTAAAACCGAAACCCTAAACCCTAAAAACCCTCCGTCCCACACCCTGGGGGGTCCAAAGCCCGTGGCAGGAGTGGCTCAGCAGCTGCCGCAAGGCCATGTTGTCTGTTTTCGCGGTGGTCAAGGCTGCTTGGGCATCAACTCGGGCTTTTACGGTTGGGGGTTCGGGTTTAGGGGTCTGGGGGCTTTGGGCCTTTGAGGTTTTTTGCCCAACGGCGTACCAAAAGACGTGTTCCGGTAGTTTGTTAGGGCTTCCTTCAAAAAGTTGTGATCCGATGGCAAGGGTCCGCAGGGAAAAAAACTGCAGGGGGCCCAAAAAAAAAGGGGTCTCAGGAAGGTCCAAGTCGAAGATTCAGGGGGTCCGAGAAAAGCATAGGAGGCCCGGCCCCAAAGAATCTGCCCCCTCATGCTTGAAAAGGCTGCGGCAAGGTTGCTCCGGGGGCTCTTTGGGGTCTTAAACTTTCATCCCTAATCCCTAAACCCTAAACCCTAAACCCTAAACCTTGGCTCCTGGACACAGAGATCCGAGATCATACCCCACTAAGCCCCCCTTCCGGGAGTCCTAAAGCCCATGACTTTTACGCAGCCCGAAAACTTGTTTGGGTTTGAGGGTTTAGGGTCTAGGGTTCAGGGTTTTAGGGTTTGGGGGTTTAGGGTTTAGGGCTTAGGGCTTAGGGCTTAGGGTGTAGGACGGCCGAGGTCATCGGCAAGTGGTTGGCTTGCCTGTTCATCCTCCTTGGCGTGGCCGTTGCGTGTGTCCACTCCATCAAGGACTCGACTCGTCAGGATGTAGCAGGGCTTAGGGTTTAGGGCTTAGGGCTTAGGGCTTAGGGCTTAGGGCTTAGGGCTTAGGGCTTAGGGCTTATGGCTTAGGCTTTAGGGTTGAGGGTTTAGGGTTTGGGGCTTGATGAGTTGGCAAATTTGATCTTAGGGGCGAAAGTGTCTCGACATTTCATTGTGAGCCCGAAAATCCCGAAACCCGGTATCCTGAACACGAGCACGCAAGCCTGCCAGGACTTGCATTCATCGATGGTGTGGGACGTGATGGCAACAAGCGTTCCGAAGTGGACCGAGCTGAAGTATGACGATGAGGCAGTGGCAGCCTTCTTCAGCAACGCCAGCAACCTGAAGGACGCAAGGGGTTATTTGGTTCCCCATGCCCTAAACCCTACAAACCCTGAACCCGAAACCCTAAACCCTAAAACCCTAAACCCTGCAAACCCTAAACCCTAAGGCGCTTGTACGCTTGGGTCTGGGGACCCTTTTTGAAGCGACAGATAAGCCCTAAACCCTAAACCCTAAACCTTAACCCGTACACCCGAAACCCGAAACCCTAAACCCTAAACCCTAAGCCCTAAGCCCCAAGCCCTAACCCTAAGCCCTAAACCCTAAACCCTAAACCGCAACCCTAGAGGACTGGTTGACCAGCTTGGATCTGGACGACGATGGCAAACTCGGCATGGCCAAGGCGCAGCACCGGTTTAGGCTTAGGGTTTAGGGTTTAGGGCTTAGGGTTTAGGGTTTAGGGTTTTAGGGGTTTAGGGTTTTAGGGGTTTTAGGGTTTAGGATTTAGCCAATCTAAGTCGTTGGAACTCCGCCCCAAGCCCCGAACAGCCGGCAGTTTGGAGCACAAACCCCCGGCTGCAACTCCCCAGTCTGAGGGTTTTGGGTTTAGGGTCTAGGGTTTCGGGCTTAGGGCGCTTCGTTAAGCGGAATTTTCCCTCAATCATTGGAGGGTCCAAAGTGACATCAAAGGGATACTCCTAAACCCTAAACCCAAAAAACCCATACCCTAAACCTTGAATTCATATGGGCGTTGGAAGTTCTTGGCAGTTTCACTCTGAACCCCCTTTGGAGCCCCCCCCCCCCTTCAGGACCCCGGGTAGGGCCAGGGTTTACCTGAAGGAAGCCCTAGGATCACATATCAGGACTGTTCGTCAGAGGGCCAGTGTAGGGTTTAAGGGTTTAGGGTTTCGGGTTAAGGGTTTAGGGTTTAGGGTTTAGGGTTTAGGGTTTAGGGTTTAGGGTTTAGGCCTCTCAGGGGGGCCAACCTACTTTGCAGGTTTAGGCCCCTGTCGCGCCCGAAGGTCGCAGAAGCCGTGCTCCAGACCGCCTTCCTTGCGTGTGCGGCCGGGGCTGCGGTGAAGTGTTGCAGGCCCTATAAGAGCCCTAAGCTGAGGCCCTTAGAACCCTAAACCTGAGGCCTTAGAAGACGAGAAGCCCTAAACCCTACACCCTAAGCCCTAAACCCTAAACCCTAAACCCTAAACCCTAAACCCTAAACCCCAAACCTGTGTCATCCTCAAGTCCAAAAAAACCGCCCCTAAGGCCACAAGGCAGCCTCTAAGGGGGGACGCCATGCGGGGCATTTACAAAGACACGGAACCCCATCCTCAAGGGTTTAGGGTTGAGGGTTGAGGGGTTTACTAAGATTTCTTGAAGCCTCCCGATGTTTTTTTGCAGGCGAGCCCATTTACAGCGTCGGGCGAGTCGAGTTATTTCTTTAAGCCTCCCAAACCCTTCCTCCTTCCCTCAGGCTTCCCAAAGAATCGGGTTGTAGGACCCGGAGTCGGCCCGTATTTCCCTTTTTGTGGTTCAGGTTCCCTTATCAGCCCCTGTCAAGTGACAAGGGGACCCTTTTTACTCCTAGGTTGCTCTTGGGTCTAGTATGTCTGCGATTTAACTTCAGGAGCCCCATATAAAAACCATAACCGTAAATAAGCGTAACTACGTGGTTTAGTTGGTTTTGTGTATTATCTTTTGGGGTTTCCCTCCAAGCGAGTCCTAGATGTGGAGATGCCTTAAGCTTCTTTATTTGCTTGGCATTTAGTTCTTGTAGAAGTTTTTGGGGTTTATAGAGAAGTGGGGGGTTTACATCAGGGGTGTATCTTTGGAACGCTTTCGGGTTGTTGAGACGACGTGTAGTTTGGAGCTGCTAAAAGCAGGTGTTTCACGCGGTTTTGCGTGCAGCCGGCTTACGTTTTCAACAGCAGGGGACGTTAGAATTTCATGGATAAGGGCTTAAGCCGCTGCATATGGGTTCCTCTAAATCCCTGAATCCTGAGATCCCTGCGCCTGCCCGAGTCCAGAACGCGCTGTGTCTGATCCTGTACTTCCAGGGACCTAGTTCGTGTGTCCTGAAAGGTTCTCGCAGCTTACTTCGTAGCTTCCTGGAAGTATGGGGTTTTAAGAGAAAGGAAGGGCAATCTTCCGAACACAGCTGTCACAAATTCGCATCTGTGACTTTTCTTTCTTGATGAATGGATCATAATCAATTGCACCAGCGAAGACCCCAAACAGTGTAGACCAAGACTTTCCAACATAAAGGGAGACATCTGCTCTAGCACGCGGACACCGGGTGGGAACACGCCAACGTTCACACGAACACGCGAGCGGACGTTGGGGTGTCAGGGTTCGGAGCTCTTGGGCGTTGGCATTTTCAAACCGTAAACCCTAAACCTGGCAGGGACCATCAGAAGGGTGTCTTAGTCCAAGACCTCCCGAAATCCCAGGATCCCTTATAAGTTTCCTCCTATTGAAGTTTCAGGGTTTAAATCCTAAGCCCTCAACCCTCTACCCTAAACCCTAGGCCTTAGTGCTTGGGGCTCTCCAGGCGTTGGTTCGGCAAACATGGCCAGGTGACGGCCGCCTGGCACAAGATGATGGTAATCTCTTTCCAAAAGTGCGCCCTTCATAAGCACATCCCTGAAATGTTACTCGGTAAGCTCTTGGGACGTTTTGTGTTTTCCCTTGTTGGGTTTAAGAGGATCATGTTCAGAAATCTTGTTCATAGGGTTGTAGTGGCCATCCTAGTATGAGAGAGAATCATATTCTTTTAAGGGCCCTTGCCAACAGGAGAGGCTTTTGCTTGGATTCATGGCGCTCTAGCCTTGTGAACCCGAAGTTGCTAGACCCTGACTCCTAAATTCTTGGTTCCATGCTTCGGTCAGACAAACTTGGGGGGGAGAGGGGAGGGAGGGGAGGGGGGTCAGGAGGTGTTAGAGCTTAGGATGTATGAGTTGGGGGGGGCGAACCTGTGTTTCCCGAACTTGGACAGGGGCCCTAATATTCCCAAACTCCAGCGAACTGGTCAGCGAGAAGTCAGAGATTCCAAACCTTGAGCTTCTTGAGGCACTACAGCTTATGGAGTTTGTGTATCAACCAGGTTGCTGTTGTCATTTCCTTGTTTCCAAGTGTATTTTCAGTTAAGCTACACAACAACCACAACAACTTTCGTGTTGTTTTGTACCTTCCCCCTTGTACCCCCCACCCTTATGGACCTATATAGTACGCTTCCACTAGACCCGAGATCCCTACACCGTATACCCTAAACCCTAGACCCTAAACCCGAAACCCAAAACACTAAACCCTTAACCCTAACTCCTCTCTCCTGAGGCCTACGATGCAGTTCTAGCCTTCGACTCATTGGCCCACTTCCTTGCCACCGGCGAGATCAAATACCTCCAGTTCGCCGAATCCCAGCCACCGGCTCTTTTAAGGGGGTTCGGGCTCAGGGCTTAAGAGGGTTTAGTTAAACTTTAAGAAGTTTTTTACAGGGGTATTTCAAGAGGCTACGTGGGGTCCTCAGTTAGGAGGATGTGCGCAGCGAAGGTGTCGTAATTGGGCTTTTGAAAAGGGTCTATAGGTCGGGGTTGAGGGTATGTCAGAGGGCTCATAGACTGTTTGCCTTGCGAAAGAACAAAAGTAAAACATGGGACTTCTGCCTAGTAAGATGCCTGCCCTGTGTAGGATACCGACCAGGTTCGATGCACTCCACGAAGACCGCTTTCGCATCGTTGCAGTGGTGGGCCTCTTCGACAAGGGCAAGACCCCTTGGGGACGAAATGACACCCCCCAAAACGGTGCTCATCCCTGGGGGACAAGTTGTTACCCTAAAAGGTATCCTATGCTACATAATCCCTAGAAAGGTATATGAACCTTGAACCCTATTGGGGTTTATGTGGTCCCCCCGGGATGCAGCCTTTTTACCTTGTGCTACTCGACCTGCCGAAGAAGGAAACCCTAAAGTAACCTAAACATCCAGACTTCGCCTGGTCCCGAAGGACGTGGCTAACCAACAAGCTCTTCCGAAAGAACCTCCCCAACGGCAAGCTGTGCACGACCAAGGGCTTGAGCTTCCTCTGGGCTCCTCGAACTTTGAGACACTGTGGTTAAGCCGGGCACCCTAATCCTGATGAGCAGCCCTAAACCCCAAACCTTAAACCGTAAACCCTAAACCCTAAACCCCAAACCCTAAACCCTAAACCCCTAAACCCTAAACCCCAAACCCCGCAGCAGCCGAGGTTCCCGAACGCCGGATGCTCGTGCTGGACAGTGCTGGGGTGCAGGGCACGGTGTCTTACAAGTCGCAGGCCGTGGACTCGATCCTGGACGCGCGGACCACGGAGTCGTTGATGTTTGACATGATTTCGAGGACCTTGGGTGAGGCACAATCTGTATATTCTGTCCAATTGAGGCACAATCTGTATATTCTGTCCAATTTCGAATATTGTATGGCCCAACAGAATAAAAGCAGAGCTCTTTTGTTCTTCCGTACTAATGGTTACTGCGCAGCCCGGGGAGGATCTCCCACCACATGATCTTCGTGGTCAACGACTTCACGTGGCTGGAGCAGGAGTACGAGGCCATGCTCCTCCGCAAGTACCTCTCCGCGCATCAGAACAAGGAGCTCATCGTCGTTCACAACTTGCGCATGACCTCGCGCGTCCATGAGGCCCAGGAGTTCCTTCGCCTTTAGTTGAACTTGAAACTGTTTGGGCTTCCTTATTTAGTAGGAATATTGAAGTTCAACCTTTTTTCCCCCTCGGTTCTTGGAGAAGTAAGGCTCTTCGAGCGCCAGATCACCCAGTGCTACGAGGGCGGCTCCTCCCACATGGGCAAGCTGCTGTTCACCGCGGAGTTGGGTGACGCCCACCTTCCCGTACATCACATCGGGCTGTGCCAGGAGTACACGCAGGCTGGGAGGAAGTTCAACAACACGAACTGCGACTACCTCATGCAGCAGCTGGAGCACCGTCACACCTTGGGCTCCAAGGTGGGGGGATTTCTCTCTGGGGCGGCTTCCTCCATTCCTACTCCGGAGGCTTATATCTTTATATGTGCAGGGATATGTAGCGTATAGGCAAGAACGGGACCCTGGTACTTTGTAGAGCACCCCCCCCCACCCACCCCCCCGAGGTCATCCTCACGAAGTTGCTGGAGACCGAGTTCACCCGCCTGATCCCCAAGTTCGTCTTGGTGGAGACGGCCCCGGAGGTCGACAAGGCCGTGCAGGAGCTGAAAGTGGAGTACAGCGACAGCGAGCTCCCTGGCAGCTCTGGTATCCTAAACCCTAGACCCTAACTAAACCCTAAACCCAAAACCTAAACCACCCTAAACCACCCCAAAACCTAATCCCATAGAAGAACTGCAGATGGAACCCTGCTTAAGGTGCACATAACCCGTACTTGTAGTGATTACAGTAGGTCAGCTGCTTTACCCGGGTGCGCCTCGATGCCTAATGCCATCTTCGAAGACAAGGGAAGCTTTTGTGGGCCCTGGTAATGGACCTAAACCCTAAACCCTAAACCCTAAACCCTAAACCCTAAACCCTAAACCCTAAACCAGCGAAGGTCCCAGCTGGCGACGCGAAAGCCCGAGCCCGGAGAAGGTGAGTACTTGGTCCGAGGGGTGATGAAGCTGGTGTTGCCAAGGAGGGACGCGCAGGTCACCATGGGTTCCCCTACCTACCCCCCTCTATACTACCCCCCGCCTAGGCTCCCCCCTTAAATCACCTTCATTAGCCTCAATTATCCCTAAATACCCTTAAAGATTATAGAGGGGGGTTACAGCAGTAGGGGAACCCATGAAGGTCACCATGAAGAAGCAGGGTGTGATCTCCCCGCTTGGGGAGATCATCGCCCACGACGTCAGCTTCGAGCCCAACGTGAACGTCTTCGACCAGAGGGTGGAGGATGGCACGGAGAGGCACATCACCATCGAATGTCCTGGAGTCAGCGAAGAGGACATCGAGTTTAGGGCTTAGGGTGTAGGGTTTAGGGTTTAGGGTCTAGGTGTTACGGTTTAGGGGTTGCGAGCTTAAGGTTTAGGGTCAGAGGACATCGAGTGGGAAGAGCTCAGCAATGGTGTCAAGGTCACCATCCAGAAGAGCAAGGCCATCGACGAGGCGGTGGTGCAACCGGTGCAGCCCATCATGCAGACCCCCGGCTGCACGCAGAACCTAAAATCAGCCGAAGTGGGTTTAGGGTGTATAGGGTTTAGGGTGTATAGGGTGTAGGGCTAGGGTTTAGGGTGTCTAGGGTTTAGGGCGTATAGGGTTTAGGGGTTTTGCTCGCAAGAACCCGAGAGCAAAGAAATCATGGCACAAGGCTCCGGCGCATCTTTGCAACCCGAAGGGGTTTAGGGTTTAGGGTTTAGGGTTTGCATACAAGCAACGTGCACATAATTAAGCTACCCTCCCTTGTTTCAGCGGTATATCCGTTCAAGTACGCGAGCCAAACCCCAACCGCAACGACTTGCTGGCGATATTTCCGCCGAGGGCTTGTACTTTTAGGGAGGCCCAGCGTCCTCTATTGAAAAAAAGGTTTGGGGTTTTTTGTTTTGGAGGGGGGGGGGGGGGGGGGGGTTCTGGTGGGTTGTTTGGGGGGGCGACCTTATGGGTTTTGGCTTAGACCCTAAACCCTTGAGGGTGTTGGTAAGGGGGTTATACTGGGTGTTACAAGTCGGATACGCAGCACACAACCTCCTCCTCGAAGCCCGAAAAACTGACTGAGGGTTCCAGGGCATAGGTTTTGGGGTTTGAGTTAAACCTGAATGACCTCTAACATCTTTGCATGAATAGTTTTTGCTAGGATTTAGGGCGCGGTTCTTGGGACCTTGAAGCCCTGAAGCCCTGAATTCTTGGGCCGGAGCGCCAGAAGGAACCATGGGACCTGGTTTAAAAACTTCGTCTTCGATCATGGCGACGGGCGCTTCGAACTCCGTGGGGGCGAGGACGTGGAGTTGGGGAATATTGGGCTCCCCGGCAAGGGTGGTTTAGGGTCATTATGCAGAGACTGTACAGGGTGCGTGTCCGCAGTTTTGGTGTTTGGGCTTGTTTTGCCGGGTTTCGCGAGCTTTGGATGCTCGCAGGACCTTGCTAGCGACTACCACTAGGTCCTAGGTTGCCTAGTAGTACCCTTCTTCCCATTTTCCCATTTTGTTTTGCTTAGGACCCCTCATCCACCTATATGATGTCAAAAAACTGTAGCCTTCCCTTCCAGGTTCCTGAAAAACTTGTGAACATGTTGAAGGTGTTGCGGACTCCCCGAGGAAGATCTCAGCCCAAACTCCAAACCCTAAGTCCAAAACCCTGACTCAGGATTCCCCGAACCCTAAACCCTAAACCCGAAGCTCTAAGCCCTAAACCCTGAACCCTAAACCCTAAACCCTAAACCCTGACAGGATTGCATCTTGGAGCAGGGGGTCTTGACCATCAAGCTGCACAAGTCGTCGCAGTCCCGCCGTGGTGACCTGCCGGTGTGGGTTTTGTGTTTAAGGTTTAGGATTTAGGGTTTAGGGTTTAGGGGCTTCGGGTTCTTGAGGCTTCTTTTTTTACAATTTCGGGTGGGTGCTCGGCAAGTCTGGGACATCTGAAACGTTCGAGGGGCTACTTCACTCCGATGTTTTTTCACGCTTCGCTGCATTCCACGTCGCCCGAATCCCAAGCCACTAAACTTCCCAACCCAAAACCCGGCACAATCCCCACAACGAACGCTTGCTTCCTGACAAGATTCTATAGAGCAGCCCAGGCAAAGTGGGCCGCCACGTGGCCGACCCCTTGCCAACTCTGCTTCCTGCCGGCAGTCATGTGCCCCCTGTAGAACCCGAAGCCGCCCTTTTTCGCTGCTTGGAGGTTCTGGGCACCCACAACCCAAGTACCTTGCGTACAACCGGGTTTAGGGTTTAGGGTCTAGGGGCCTTCAAGCCCTAAACCCTACCATATCACAAGTACCCGTGAACCTCCAGGCGTAGGGCTTCCCGTCGTGAGAGATCGCGAGCGGAGGAGTAACCCGGAACCATAAAGCCTTCTGAAGCCCTCAGCACAAACAGCGAAACCTGAGTCCCTAGTCCGGGTTTAGGGCTCGGCGCTTGGGGTTGAAGATTTGTTAACGGTTGAAGCCAAACCCTAGTACATAAGATCCCAAACCCTTGCTTCATGAGGTCTTATAAACCTAGTTCCTACCCGACGCCCGATGTCTTTGTTGCCCCAAATCTTCAGCCTTTGGGTCTTGGGGTTAGGCGGCTCAGGACTTACTTGGGCTTTCTGGCTTTAGGAGTCAGGGCTCCGAGGTTTGTGGTTTAATCGGCCCCTACCTAAGCTCTAAGACCTAAACACTGAACTCCTAAACTCTATGTAAGCCCGAAGGCCTAAACGCTAAAGCCCAAACAAAGTCCTAAATCCAAGCCTATAGGACCCGACATATCCCTACGCAAACCCCAGATAAATAACCCGCACATACCCCCCCCCCATATACTGCTATGTAGCCCTAAAGCACATACATAAACCCTAGATGACCCCCAATAGAACATACTGCTATATAGCCCCAAATAACTCTATGGCCCATAGAAACCCTAAACCCGAAAGAAGTTTCGTTTGTTATAAGGCGCCTCAGGCCCCCTCCAAAAGCTGAAGTGGACAGTTTGCTCGAAGTGTTGGTCCCTGGGTTGAGGGTTTTAGGGTTTAGGGTTCACAGTTTAGGGTTTGAGAACATGGGCCTTCAAAATAGAACCATAATTGTCTTTTGCATAATCCTGCAAAACTGAGGCTGACAGCCACAGCAGCATCCTCGATTTCCGGCTTCGAGGCCGGACAAAGTGCAGCTCCTAAACCCTAAACCCTCAAGATGAAACATAAATCACAAGCTGTATGTGATATCTTGAGATGTTCCACTTTATACAAACAGTGCTTAGTAGGGATTCTAGTACCTACTAACAGTTCTTGATAGGCATAAAAGTACCCGCTATTGGAATCCACATTAATTAAGAGCTGTTAGTATAAGGGGGAACATCCCAAGGTTTGGGTTTCAGGCTTCTCGGGGTTTAGGGCTTAGGGTCCCTAGGCCTTGGCCAATCCCGGTGCTGCAAAAAGCTGAGGATTAAGGGCCAGATGAGCTGAGCCAAAAGCTCCAAAAGCCTCGAAACTGGCGGCCCCCCGAAAGGTCCCCGTAGGACCCCCAAACATGCACAGCCTAGCCTTTCCATAGTCCAGAGGGGCAAGTTTGTATCCGACGGATGGGGCGTATCCAAGTAGGAGCCTGCCTTTCCGAATTCCAGAGGGAAGGAGCGCAACCAACTGCCCTTTCAAATTCTCGAGCCTATTCCGTTTCTATTCTCCTGCATGAGGATGCACCGTATAGATCTTCAAACCTCGGGGCTCTCTATGTTCGTTTCACGGCTGAAGTCGCGTGTCAGAGCTTGAAGGTTGAAAGTTTAGGGTTTAGGCTTAGGGTTTCAGGGGTCAGGGTTTTGTAAATCAGGGCTCAGGGTTTAGGTTTCGGGGGTATGTTTATAGGGTAGCTTAGGGTTTTAGGGCTTGGGAAGGCCGAACGAAGGATTTCGCAAGCCCTCAGACCCCGGCAGGTCTCAAAGCATAGGCGCCCCAAGCCCTGGAGTTTAGGGCTTAGGGCTGAGGGTTTAGGTTGCAGGGTTTAGGACTTAGAGTTGAAGGGTTGATGTTGAGGGTTGAGGGTCGATAGAGGACCTTAAAGCCACAAAGCTTCGAACTCATGGAAGGTCATCCCAGCGGCAGACAAGGAGGCTGCAGAAGCCGGAGCGGAGATCTGATGAAGTGTCCTATGAGCTTTCGTGGGGTACGTAAGTAACCCATAGAAAGGGCTCGAGGGGGGTGATCTCTTATACCCCTAATACCATCCTTATTGGGTAGTTTTGTATGATTACCCCAAGTCGATCTGTAGGAGACCCTGCTTTTCGGGCCTGGGGTTTAGGGTTTAGGGTTTTAGGGTTGTCGAAGTTGTTTAGGGTTTAGGGTTTTGGGGCTATAGGGTTATCTACGGAGTTTAGGCTTTAGGGTCTACGGGCTAGATCTTCCAAGTAGACCGGTGAAGCTAAGCCAACCTGAAGGCAGATTTTTGTTCTTTTTGGTAAGATGTAGGAGGGAAAGCCAGAAGCCAACAGGAAAAGGTACTACAAACCTTCAGTTGTGGATCACCTTGCCCGAGAAGCCCAAACTCCAGACGCCTCAGACTGCAAGTTGCGCGTGGGTCTTCCCGAAAATAGGGGGTACCCGTTTTGGAGGGTCCCTTTTAAAGGGGGGGTTATATCCTATTCTGGGTAGAAAAGGGGTACCCCCTGCATTGGGAAATGCCCCCTTAGTGAGGCATTTTGACTTTGCGTTTTGCTGGCTGTAGTCGCCACACGTCGCCATGGGTTAACCCTAAACCCTAAACCCTAAACCCTAAACCCTAAACCCTAAACCCTAAACCCTAAACCCTAAACCCTAAACCCTAAACCCTAAACCCTAAATTTGGAAGTTTTGAGGCTGCATTTAGGCTAGGGCATAGAGCTCGGGTTGGGGTCGCATGAGCCTTCGCTCCAGTCTGAAAGTTGACAAGTTGACCATAGGCTTTTAGGGTTTTCGGGTCTAGGGTTTAGGTTTTAAGGTTTAGGGTTACTACCATGTTCGAGCCGCGCACATTGTTGCTAATATGTGATTCAGGGTTTATATTCTTGTTCTTGGTGAATGTATGACAGGGTTCCTTATGAACACTGGTGAGTATATATTGGTCCTTTGGGGAAGAGTAGGAATATGGAGCCTCTAGGGTTTAGGGTTTAGGGTTTAGGGTTTAGGGTTTAGGGTTTAGGGTTTAGGGTTCAGGTTCCTCCTCTTATCGCCACAGCTTCGTCTAACGAGAAGTTGGCGGCACATCCCACTGCGAGCTTGACAGTGCAGACCAAGCTCGTGCCAGCAAAGTTTAGTTCCAGCTTCTGAGAAAGGGGTTTAGGGTTTAGGGTTTAGGGTTTAGGGTTTAGGGTTTAGGGTTTAGGTTTAGGGTTTAGGGAAGGAGCCTGTTTCCGAAGCTCGATAGTTATTTCAAGACCGATTCCGACGCGTTCTGGTAGATGCGTGGGTCCAAAAAAGAATTCACTTTCAGACCAATTGGATTCTTTTCGACCCTATCTTGAATGCCGAAACCATATGAGTTTCACTTTCATTCTGTGGTAGAAAGAACAAGATCTCCATATCCCAATAAAGAAAATACCTATCTCCATCCCGAATTAAATCAAGAGATGGGGATCCATGAGAGAAAATGATCAGAAAAAGATAATCCATCCCGTCAAGATTATTATTATTTCCAAGAACTATTCCCTCAAAAATGAGAGGTTGCTTCCCATTCTTCTCAGATTCGTTCGAATAATGAAGCTATATGGGCGCGTTACTATACGCATGCCTCATAGAAGCCATGTTGCATGCTTTTTACTTGATGATATTCATTATCTATCATTCTTCTATAAGATGCTCTTTCTGAATTTTCTTGATTCTTGAGATGTAGAGGATATTTTTCTGGATGAATGAAAAATTTTTAATGAGATAGAAAATGCAGCATTAATCGAAAAATAATAAATGAGAATAATTTATTCTTAGAAATATGAAAGAAAATATATCTGAAAGATGATCAATATGATAAGAATTATTGATTGATTTATGAAAAGGATTTGATTAAATAGAGTATCTTGATAAGAAATAAATAAAGATATTATATCGATATCATTTAATCTCTCTATCAGATGATTGATCATAAAATTCATTAAATTTTGGATTATATTCGATTACGATTCATGTCTCGCATTTCGATTGAATTCTAATGATAT